TACTTGTGGTTCCTATAGTCTCTAAAAGTAGAACAGGAGCCAGAGCCTTCAGTTACCAAGCTCCTCTCCTGTGGAACCGGCTTCCAGTTGTGGTTCGGGAGGCAGACACCCTCACCACTTTCAAGAGTAGGCTTAAGACATTCCTCTTTGATAAAGCTTATAGTTAGGGCTGGATCAGGTGAGTCCTGAACCATCCCTTAGTTATGCTGCTATAGGCCTAGACTATCGGGGGATTTCCCATGGTGCACTGAGCTACTCTCTTCCTCTCTCTTTCTGCACTCATTCATGTCCCTTTAATGCATGTTACTAACTCCACTTCTTCCCCGGAGTTCTTGTGCTTTCTCGTCTCGCAGGTTCTCATGGATCCTGGTGGAGCCTCCTGCCATGGTCCTGCTTGACTGCCATTGCCAATACTGTTGTTGCTGTGCACCTGTCTGTCTGTCTGTCGCTCTCTCTCTCTCTCTCTCTCTCTCTCTCTCTCTCTCTCTCTCACCCCAACTGGTCGAGACAGACGACCACCCACCTAGAGCCGGAGGATCTGTCCTAGGTTTCTGCCTTTTAACAGGCAGTTTTTCCTTGCCCTTGTCGCCAAGTGCTTGCTCATGGTGGTACTGTTGGGTCTCTGTAATTAATGTTAAAGAGTTCGGTCTAGACCTGCTCTATTTGAAAAGTGTCCTGAGATAACTTCTGTTATGAATTGGCGCTATACAAATAAAAATTGAATTGAATTGAATTGAATTAATTATACCCGTCATTATATTCAGACAGAGCTTGCATATCACACAGATCTGCTTGAAATTGGTTTAAAGGACGAGGTACAAAAACTCGGTTTCTAATAAAATGTACTCTGGCTGGTTTGTGTAGAGTGTAAGCATCCTGCTCTGATAAAAAGTCTTTGACATTTTCAACTCCTACCCTCTCACATGTTTCATCTTGAACATTTTTACGTAGTCGTTCTACACCTCCAAAGCTCCCTGGATGGCCAGGATCGTAATACACTTTTTTCATGAAACGTTTCTCAGACATGTTGAAACGGAATGAGAGAAAAATACGATGTACAAGTTATTTTATTAGAGGTTTGCATAGTCACAAATACAAAAACACATGTTATAAAAGTACAAGATAAACTTTTCAGTTCTAATAACAAGTATAAAAAGTACAGGATCCATGAGAGTGCACACTACTTGCACACTCTTTGTATTTTTTCTTTGTTTTCAAAATATTTGTTTATAAAATCACAATCCCCAACACCTAGTGACCGTCTTGAGCTGCATGCATATCGTTTTGGCACCTAAATGATCAAACATGTTGTCAGAGGTCGCTTCCACATCTTTCAGATTGTGTAGAATCATATCAGCAGCGGCCCTGACTCTAACTTCATCAGATGGAAGGTTACGCATATTCAACAGACACTGAACTGCTGGAATGAATTTAGGCTTGTAAAGCATCTTCATCAATCCTTGAAAGTTGACGCTATAGTAGAAATCCTCTAACGGTTCCAAACACGGATGTTCCTTCTGGCTGGGGTGGCTGGTTTGACATCCGTAGCAGTTGGCAGTGCGGTACTTGTTGATGACGATGGCGAGCAGATGCAGCACGGCCGTTTTTACAGTACCGTAGAAAGCACTAGATAGCCAGCCGTCGATTTCATCCACCGGTTCTTCCTCATCCCACAGAGGTGGTGATGGTGGTGGAGTCAAAGAAACAGAGCTCAAGAGGGTTGGATACTCTGGTGCCTGCCGTGGAGGCTGGGAATCACCCGTGTCTACCCTGCAGACTCACAGGGTGAGTTCTGTGGGGCTGGTGGATAGCCAGGGCTCTGGACCAACCCTCCTGCATCGGAGATATCGTGGGTTGAGAACTGCGAATCCTGGGGCCCATCTGCGTATGAAGCAGGGGTGCAGCATGGCGAGTCGTACAGCGGTGGAGAGGCAGGGTCCTGGGGTTCCTCCAAAACAGTGCTGGGGTTACAGATGGATCCATCGGCCGAATGTCTGCGAGCTGCGCCCTCAACGGGCCCGGATGTTGAATCTTCAGGGATGTCTGAAAATGGGGTCCAGATAGTGCCGATCCGACGCTGCTGTCCGTTGATGGCGGCCATGTCTTCTTTTTTTTTCTCGTTTTGGAGCGGTTTGATCAAGGATGCTGTGTTAGGTTTGACTGTGTTACTCCTTTTTAAACCTTTGAAGACGGGGTAGTGGTCGGAGAGGGGGCGGTAGTGGGCGGTCAGGGGGCGGTCTGGGGGCGGTAGTGGGCGTTCAGGGGTGTGGCTTAGAACGTCAGCTTTTTTCTCACTTTCAAAGTGTCATTCCAATTACGACTGCTATGGAAGAGGGTTGTGATTCTCTCTCCTATTTCATCCATCTTTTCTAGCCAAGCGGCTAAAGGGATGGTTAGCACAGGCCGGAATACACCGCAGTCCGTATTAAAATACTCTAGGACAAAATCCTCCTCAAGAGGCTTCTCCCTAGATGCTTGGATAGTAGCGCGTATGAACCATTGACTGGAACCAGATATCTTTGCCTGCCAGACAGCCCTAGAAACGACACCAGACTCTGGTACATCGGTGGAAGGATCTGTTCTCACTTGTTTCTCATCCGAGGGCCGTTCAGACATCACTAGCCTCAACACGGCCCAGTCGTTGGAGGTAAGAGTCACCACATTTTTCATCAAATTCAATTTTTCATCATCACCCAGCTGGTACAACCAGAGCTCGCCCTCTTCATACTTGAACACATACCCCACAACACCCAGACGATCCATGCTGCAGTAAAGACCATTGCTCTCCCAGAGATTCCTTTGGAGGAGCCTGTGTACGCTGTACATACACCATACTTTTCCTCGGGGCGGGCGGAGGCCCTCTCACTTGCCGGTAGATGGTAACAGGTGTCTCGCAAATCACAGACATCTCATCTTCTGGTATATTCTCTTTTTCACAATCGTAAAACTTTTCTTGTAGCATTGTGAATTGATGGCGAACTCTTTGCTGACTCTGTACTTATAATATTTGTCTTTTGTTCACACTTGAGTTTTAAAGGTTCCCCGCCATAGGGTCGGGGTGGGGGTGGGCCAATTAACCGTGTACAATCTATTGATGGTTACCATCTGGAGGGGGGCAAAAAGTTTACCGTCTGGAAAACAACCCTTGACCTTTTTGACCGGGCATAACGGCAGGACTGCCCTAGAAACGACAGCAGACTCTGCTAATATTTGTCTTTTGTTCAGATTTGAGTTTTAAAGGTTCACCGCCATAGGATCGGGGTGGACCGTGTACAATCTATTGAAGGTTACCATCTGGAGGGGGGCTAAATGTTTACCGTTAGGGAGGGGGGGGGCATCTCTATCTATTAGACCCCTTAAAAACAACCTTTGAAGTATCAGATGATCATTGATCGATTTGACCTTTTTGACCGGGCACAAGGGCAGGGGGCGTGGTACCTGTCACTTTTCAGTTTGACATGAAGTGCATAGATCCCTCTCTCTACTCTTGGCTGCGGGATTAAGTCCGTAGTTTGTTAGTTATCCGTTTAACACGACCGCTCAGCACAACTGGTTTACTCCTGCCACCCACCATATTCCCTGTGGAGTACAATTACCCCCATCAGCCATAACATTATGACCACCTGGGCAGCCCCATAAACAACAGACTGCTCTGCACTGTGTCTTCTGACCCCTTTCTATCAGAACCAGCATTAACTGTTTCAGCAGTTTAAGTTACAGTAGCATGCTGTTGGATCGGACCACACAGGCCAGCCTTCACTCCCCACCTGCATCAATGAGCCTTGGCCGCCCATGACCCTGTCTCTGGTTCTGTTCCTTCCTTGGAACACTTTTGATAGGTACTGACCTCTGCAGACCGGGAACCCCCCACAAGAGCTGCAGGTTTGGAGATGTTCTGACCCTGTCGTCCATCACAATGTGGCCCTTGTCAGAGTGGCTCAGATCCACACGCTGCCCATTTTTCCTGCTTCTAACACATCAACTCTGAGGACAAAATGTTCACTTGCTGTCTGATATATCCCCCCACTGACAGGAGTCCTGATAACCAGATAATCAGTATTATTCACTGTCAGTGCTCACAGTGTTAGGGCTGATCGCTGGATATATTGTTCAATTTATTCTATTTTTATTATATCTTGTATTTTTCTATTACATTTTTTATTTAATGTGTATTTTCTATTTCTATTGTGTTGCTGGGCTGCTCCTTTTAAACACTGTAGTCTAGTAGTCTGTCTACCTGTTATTGGGAATCAAAGGTAACCAGGTCCTTAACAAAATGATATGCAAGTTTGACTTGGGTGGGGAACTTAGTGGCTGTTCACTTGTGGTCTTTAATAATTTCTTGTGATCATCATTCACTCACAGATATTTCCCAAAACTGGTCGGTCAGATTCCTCACATCAAAATACTGAATTTTAGAGAGAACACAGACATCAGTCAGTATCATTCATCCTGTCCTCTGTCCTGAGGCCTGTTTAATATGTGGATCTGTACCCATCCCTGAATAAAATGTTTCTTATTCATCGTGTTTCAGGCAGTCTCTTGCAATGTGTTCATTGTTCATGTTCATATTGCGATGACGATGAAAATATGATCAGCCCTAACTGGAATCTGTACTGACTGCTTCACATATATTACATATATTATCATATCATATTCATAGTTGGATCTTCACTGAGCAGAATGATGTATGTGCAAAGTTTGTTTAAGGTTGTTTTCACATTCATCTGGTAAAAGTAGAAAGAGGAAAGTTTCTTTGTGCTCACTGAAAACCCGATTTTAAGGGGCAGGGCCTACGGGCATGATTTGTGACATCACAAATACTTTGAAAATCAAACCTGGTCCAGTATGCAACTTTTTAACACTTTTTGTAATGAAGTAGAAGGAGCAGATATCTTTTTAAGGATTTTAATGTGGAAATTATACTTATTTTCATATCAGAAATCATTATTGCAAGCAGAATATATATATATATATATATATAAATAAAAGACCTAATACATGAGTGGAGGGGAGCTTTAATGATAGAAAGAAAAAGGTCTCATTTTAATTACAGCACAATGTCTTTCTAAAGTACGTTGGCTTCACAGGAGTCAGGCTGCAGGATCTGAAGCGTCACTATGTGTTTAACAGCTTTTCTAAACCAGGGGTAGAACAAGGCATAGATCACAGGGTTCAGACAGGAGTTAAAGTACATCAGATAGCTCATAAAGGCCTCAGTTGAAGAACCGACTAAGATGCTGCCACCTGTGAGAGAGAGACAGTAGTACGGAGAATAGCAAATCAGGAAAACTACAACAGCAATGCCAAGAGTCCTGGCTGCTTTCAGCTCAGATTTCTGTGTCAGAGTCACTGAAAACTGGAGTTTGACAGCTGCAACATGAGAGCGCATGGCACGGGCCTGAGACACCGCTACCACAAACACTCTCATATACAGAACTACAATGACTGTAATGGGAATAATAAAGGCAACAACAAGGTCCACATCTCCTGCAATGTTAACCACACACTCTCCATAGCAGGAATTATACCTGCCTGGTTGTTTCAGGTGGTCATATAACATAAAAACGCTGTAGAGAACAGAGCAGATCCAACACAGACAAATACTGACAGTAACTAGTTTGTCAGTGACTCTGGTGGGGTAATGCAGAGGGTCACAAATCGCCACATAGCGGTCGATTGATATGAGCACCATGCTTCCTACAGAGGCAGAGATGAGGGTTACCGGTAGGAAGAAATACAGAGCACACACGAGGTCACCCAGGACCCAGCAGGTCCTTGTAAAGAGAACTTCAATCGGCAACACCAGGAGGCCAACGAAGAAGTCTGAGACAGCCAGAGAGAGGAGGAGGAGGTTGGTGGGGGAGTGGAGCTGCCTGCAGGGAGAGGTTATCATCATTGTGTATCATCACCAAAATTATCACCAAAAAGAGCTGTGCAATAAACGCAGTAAGAATACTTTAAAGCCACAGTATATCACAATAAAAATAGAGCTAAGGGCTCAAATTGAGTTCAATAAGATTGTTAGTTTGTGCAGAAATAACCTGAAAGCCTGTTGTTGTACATCAGCCTCTGTAAACCTGTTAAAACACTCTGCAGGAGAAACTGAAGTCTGTGGAAAGAAATTCTACAACTCCAACGCTTCTAAACCTTCCAAACTGTTTTCACAAGTACACAAAGGCTCATAGACAACACAAGCTTTGAAATCAATTCTGAACATTTGACAGAATGTTATTGACGTTATTTGAGCTCATACTGGTTTATAATATAACAGTAAACATGGTGAAGCTGAGAGGTTGATCTCTGCCTGAAGTGGGAGATGGAGATGATGACGAGCAGGTTGAGAGCGGTAGTAAGCACAGAGATGAAGAACAGCAGGATGTTAATGAGCAGATCCTCAGACTGAGGAGGCTCCGGCCTCCTGCAGGAGGCGTTGAGGAGTTGTGGAAAGCAGAGTTCAACTTCTTCCATTATCAGAGAGAAGAGAAGCTGCTGAGCTCTCTGTGAGTCATACACTTCATTTATCTCTTCCTCCTCCCTCCCCTCTCAAACCCGAAGGGAGAGGAAGAGGGCATCATTTCTAGTAATGTCGGGCCCCAATGTGAGTACATCTAATGGTGAGCTCAACTCTACTACTTTATTCTCTGAGATTATGAAGTCAGTGAATACAGACACCACTACTCGTGCACTGAGGCCTCCTTTACACCACTGTCCAAAAGCCAAACTTCAGACCGGCTCCTCCAACCGGAAGGACCACACCATCAAAGAGATATGGCATACCATTCAGTGCTGCAGTTATTCTTCACATCCCTGGTGTGTAAAGGCCTTAAGTAAGGTAGTCCAGACATCCCTCTTCTCAGCACTGTCTTCCAGCCAGACATTTTAATTCTAGGTCTATCCAGTGGTCTCCTGTCAGTTGGATGTCCACCGGCAGACAGCCAGGAAGCATCCTTATGAGATGCTGGAACCGAACTGGCTCCCTTCGACATAAAAGATCAACGGTTAGACGCTGACCTCCCTCCTGATATCTAACCTCCTTACTATCTCTAAGGCTGTGGATTTTGGAGATCAAGCAGCTTCCATCTGCGATCTCATGCTTTTGGTCAATATGGTTGACCATAGGTAAGGTTCACCAATCTTTGTCAGCACCCTGGCATACGCTTTACCGGGGAGGCTGAGCACCCCAACAATTAGGACTACCTCTGATCTCCATGGGACTACCACTGCGGTCTGCCTGTTGACAAGCACTGTCCCCAACCTTCATACAACACAGACAGTCCCACAATGTCCAAAACCTTCAGCTACTCGAGGAGAATGTCATCCCTGCCTGACACCTTGCGACTGGGGAGCTTCTTAACTCCCTCACAGACCTCTTCAGGGATATAGGTAGGGCCTCCAAACACTGCCTCATCCACACAGGATGTGTTGGTTGGGTTCAGGAGCTCCTTAAAGTGCTCTTTCCACTGCCTGACAACATCCACAGTCATGGGTTGCAGTTCTCCTTCCTGCTGAACACTGTTTGTGTCTTGTGACTGGTTAAGAGGGCTAGTTTTTTTCCTGGACTGCCCCCTAGACTCCATAGAGGAGGTGGGTAAGAGGAGGATATTAGCCAAGCTGATGTCAATCATGCACAACAACTCTCACCCCCTGTATGAGACTGTAGGGTCCCTGAGCAGCTCCTTCATCAACAGACTGCTGCACCCACAGTGCAAGAATGAGCGCTATTGAAGGTCCTTTATTCCAACAGCTGTCGGACTCTTCAACTCATTAACAGACTGTTTGTCTCTAACGTCTGCCAAAACTTATCACCGTCACTGTTTTTTCACTATTTAATACCTGTTCTGTACAGTTTTACATACATGGTGGCGATTGGTGCCTTCAAGGACACAACTCCTGACATCACACACCTACACGTACCCACCCACCAATCAGCACCCGGAGGTATACATATACCAGCATTTGAATGAAAAATGTCTTGACTCACTCACTGGAGGAAGAGGCTTCGTCCGTCCAAAAGTCAGTACATCGTTTAGCTTGCCAACTCTTGGCTGCGGGATTAAGTCCGTAGTTTGTTAGTTATCCGTTTAACACGACCGCTCAGCACAACTGGTTTACTCCTGCCACCCACCATATTCCCTGTGGAGTACAATTACCCCCATCAGCCATAACATTATGACCACCTGGGCAGCCCCATAAACAACAGACTGCTCTGCACTGTGTCTTCTGACCCCTTTCTATCAGAACCAGCATTAACTGTTTCAGCAGTTTAAGTTACAGTAGCATGCTGTTGGATCGGACCACACAGGCCAGCCTTCACTCCCCACCTGCATCAATGAGCCTTGGCCGCCCATGACCCTGTCTCTGGTTCTGTTCCTTCCTTGGAACACTTTTGATAGGTACTGACCTCTGCAGACCGGGAACCCCCCACAAGAGCTGCAGGTTTGGAGATGTTCTGACCCTGTCGTCCATCACAATGTGGCCCTTGTCAGAGTGGCTCAGATCCACACGCTGCCCATTTTTCCTGCTTCTAACACATCAACTCTGAGGACAAAATGTTCACTTGCTGTCTGATATATCCCTCCACTGACAGGAGTCCTGATAACCAGATAATCAGTATTATTCACTGTCAGTGCTCACAGTGTTAGGGCTGATCGCTGGATATATTGTTCAATTTATTCTATTTTTATTATATCTTGTATTTTTCTATTACATTTTTTATTTAATGTGTATTTTCTATTTCTATTGTGTTGCTGGGCTGCTCCTTTTAAACACTGTAGTCTAGTAGTCTGTCTACCTGTTATTGGGAATCAAAGGTAACCAGGTCCTTTACAAAATGATATGCAAGTTTGACTTGGGTGGGGAACTTAGTGGCTGTTCACTTGTGGTCTTTAATAATTTCTTGTGATCATCATTCACTCACAGATATTTCCCAAAACTGGTCGGTCAGATTCCTCACATCAAAATACTGAATTTTAGAGAGAACACAGACATCAGTCAGTATCATTCATCCTGTCCTCTGTCCTGAGGCCTGTTTAATATGTGGATCTGTACCCATCCCTGAATAAAATGTTTCTTATTCATCGTGTTTCAGGCAGTCTCTTGCAATGTGTTCATTGTTCATGTTCATATTGCGATGACGATGAAAATATGATCAGCCCTAACTGGAATCTGTACTGACTGCTTCACATATATTATATATATTATCATATCATATTCATAGTTGGATCTTCACTGAGCAGAATGATGTATGTGCAAAGTTTGTTTAAGGTTGTTTTCACATTCATCTGGTAAAAGTAGAAAGAGGAAAGTTTCTTTGTGCTCACTGAAAATCAGATTTTAAGGGGCAGGGCCTACGGGCATGATTTGAAAATCAAACCTGGTCCAGTATGCAACTTTTTAACACTTTTTGTAATGAAGTAGAAGGAGCAGATATCTTTTTAAGGATTTTAATGTGGAAATTATACTTATTTTCATATCAGAAATCATTATTGCAAGCAGAATATATATATATATATATATATATATATAAATATATAAATAAAAGACCTAATACATGAGTGGAGGGGAGCTTTAATGATAGAAAGAAAAAGGTCTCATTTTAATTACAGCACAATGTCTTTCTAAAGTACGTTGGCTTCACAGGAGTCAGGCTGCAGGATCTGAAGCGTCACTATGTGTTTAACAGCTTTTCTAAACCAGGGGTAGAACAAGGCATAGATCACAGGGTTCAGACAGGAGTTAAAGTACATCAGAAAGCTCATAAAGGCCTCAGTTGAAGAACCGACTAAGATGCTGCCACCTGTGAGAGAGAGACAGTAGTACGGAGAATAGCAAATCAGGAAAACTGCAACAGCAATGCCAAGAGTCCTGGCTGCTTTCAGCTCAGATTTCTGTGTCAGAGTCACTGAAAACTGGAGTTTGACAGCTGCAACATGAGAGCGCATGGCACGGGCCTGAGACACCGCTACCACAAACACTCTCATATACAGAACTACAATGACTGTAATGGGAATAATAAAGGCAACAACAAGGTCCACATCTCCTGCTACGCTAACCACACACTCTCCATAGCAGGAATTATACCTGCCTGGTTGTTTCAGGTGGTCATATAACATAAAAACGCTGTAGAGAACAGAGCAGATCCAACACAGACAAATACTGACAGTAACTAGTTTGTCAGTGACTCTGGTGGGGTAATGCAGAGGGTCACAAATCGCCACATAGCGGTCGATTGATATGAGCACCATGCTTCCCACGGAGGCAGAGATGAGAATATACGGTAGGAAGAAATACAGAGCACACATGAGGTCACCCAGGACCCAGCAGGTCCCGGTCATGAGGACTTCAATCGGCAACACCAGGAGGCCCACGAAGAAGTCTGAGACAGCCAGAGAGAGGAGGAGGAGGTTGGTGGGGGAGTGGAGCTGCCTGCAGGGAGAGGTTATCATCACTGTGTATCATCACCAATCTTATCACCAAAAAGAGCTGTGCAATAAACGCAGTAAGAATACTTTAAAGCCACAGTACATCACAATAAAAAGAGAGCTAAGGGCTCAAATTGAGTTCAATAAGATTGTTAGTTTGTGCAGAAATAACCTGAAAGCCTGTTGTTGTACATCAGCCTCTGTAAACCTGTGAAAACACTCTGCAGGAGAAACTGAAGTCTGTGGATTCTACAACTCCAACTCTTCTAAACCTTCCAAACTGTTTTCACAAGTACACAAAGGCTCATAGACAACACAAGCTTTGAAATTCATTCTGAACATCATTTCAGTTTAACAGTAAATGTGGTGAAGCTGAGAGGTTGATCTCTGCCTGAAGTGGGAGATGGAGATGATGACGAGCAGGTTGAGAGCGGCAGTGAGCACAGACGTGAAGAACAGCAGGATGTTAATGAGCAGATCTTCGGACTGAGGAGGCTCCGGCCTCCTGCAGGAGGCGTTGAGGAGTTGTGGAAAGCAGAGTTCAACTTCTTCCATTATCAGAGAGAAGAGAAGCTGCTGAACTCTCTGTGAGTCATACACTTCATTTATCTCTTCCTCCTCCCTCCCCTCTCAAACCCGAAGGGAGAGGAAGAGGGCATTGTTTCTAGTAATGTTGGGCCCCAGTGCGAGTACATCTAATGGTGAGCTCAACTCTACTACTTTATTCTCTGAGATTATGAAGTCAGTGAATACAGACACCACTAGCGGTGGGCGATACCGCAAGATTTGGTATTGATCCGATACCAGTCAGTATCACCAATACCGATACCGATACAATCCAGGGGGTTGTAGTGCCTGGCTGCTCCGCAAAAAACAGCTGCACTTACTCACAGAGACAGGACAGACAGGTCGCCTCTGCAGCAGCGCAGACAGGACAGAAACTAAAGTATTGATCCCATTACACTGGTATCAATTAATATCCAACGTTGGATTGATATATCGATATTTTGGATCGATCCGCCCACCACTAGACAACACTACTCGTGCACTGAGGCCTCCTTTACACCAGTGTCCAAAAGCCAAACTTCAGAATGGCTTCTCCAACCAAAAGGACCACATCATCAAAGAGATATGATTAACTGATAATAACCAGGGCTGTAGTGGAGAGTAACTGCCTGAACGCACACTGTCATACAATTACTACACGTGTTTCCAGGTAATGTCTTTGGCATGGAGTATTTACGGTCTGATGTACCCCAACTGCCCTGTGAGGTGAGCTCTTGTTTTTACTTTTTTTTTTTTTTTTAAGTATTTTTTTGGGCTTTTATGCTAGTGACAGCTGAAGATGGATAGGAAAGGGGGGCAGAGAGAGAGAGGATGACACACAGCAAAAGGCCGCAGGTCGGATTCAAACCCTGGGCCGCTGCAGCAAGGACTCAGCCTCGGTACATGGGTCGCCAGCTCTACCCACTGAGCTAACTGGGCACCCAAATGTGACCTTTTTAACCGCAAGCCATTTAGTGCTGCAGTTTTTCTTCACATCCCTGGTGTCCAAAGGCCTTAAGCAAGGTAGTCCAGACATCCCTTTTCTCAGCACTGTTTGCCAGCCGAAACATTTTAATTCTAGGTCTATCCAGTGGTCTCCTGTCAGTTGGATGTCCACCGGCAGACAGCCAGGAAGCATCCTTATGATGCATCCAGAAAAGATTGTAGTTTACTTACATAAAGCAGATCCTTTGTCCAAAGCTGCACTTCGGTTGCAAACACTGGAAAAAATCTTTCAAAAATATCCACAGAAACCTAACCTTGTTTCATCTGACCATTAATGTTTTTACTGCCATGAGACAGGGCACCTGATAGCCAGCTGCCCTGGGCTCCAGCGCAAAGATCATAATCATTGTGTAAAAAGGCTAAAAAGTGTTGGGTTTGTTCAGCCTGTTACCTGGTTTGTTATAAAGCTGAGAAGTTGAACCTGATACTGGTTGGAATTAAAGACTCCACCCTAAAACATATATGACTGATTTGACATTATTACTAAATTTATAGAAATCTGCCTTTCGTGGTTTAAAAATGTTTCAACTCGCCCTCTATTGTTTTAAAGTTTTAGTAGAACATTTCAGATTTCACAATGATTACATCATCAGGTGTCTGAAGGTCACAACAGAAATGATCTCTAAAGAACGATTGCATCATGTGCTCGTTAACTCTTCACACCTCTGATTGATCATGTGACACCAATGGAAGCAGGTGTGAAAGGTTTCTGCTGCTAATGAGCTCTATGTGTGTGTGTGTGTGTGTGTGTGTGTGTGTGTGTTTGTGTGTGTAGGCCTTTCTGTACTGTTTGTTGCAGCGGTGGAAAGAGTCCTGAAAGTTTGTACTCAAGTAGAAGTACTCCTACATCAAAAAGTATTCTCCTCCAAAACTGCTCAGAGTATTAATGACTTTTTAACTGTTGATGTTTAATACATCATCAATACTTCCAACAATGCAGATCTGCTCTGATTATAAATGGTATGAATGGATCAAACAGAGGGAATAAGTTTTATATACAGATAAAGTAGGAATTTTGTCTATTAAAAGGTACTAAAGATGTTTTTGAACCTGCGAAGAAATCATGTAATTAATATGAATTTCTCCCAGTGCACCAGCCAGTGTTGTCAGTCTATCTGTCTCCATTTCTCCAAAAATCTTCAGTCACTAAATTAACTCCTATATTGTTCTGGTCAGCATGGTCACTTCTTCAAACCAAAGCCTGCTGCAGGTGCCGTTTGGTACAGAAGCCAGCGGCAGTAAAGGTCATAAAGCCTGCTTCCTCCATGTTAGCAGAAGTTAAAAAAAAGAAAGAAAAAGGTAATTTAAGGTCGCTCTTTTCACACTGATGTCACCTTTTTATCATCAGTTCGGTTTTAATTAGTTATCTGAAGTTATAAAAAGGTTGATTGACAGCTGAGCCCTGTTCGTGATTTAGGTCTGCTGCATCCCGTTGAAAGATATTTTTTTATAGGGTCAGTAACAACTCAGAAGCTTCCCCAAATGTCAGATTTGCCTGTCTTTGCTGGTGTTATTTTTTTGGCCTTTATATTTATATTGCCTTTATTTGATAGGGACAGCCAAAGATAAACAGGAAAGGGGGGCAGAGAGAGGGGATGACACGCAGGAAAGGGCCACAGGCCGCTGCAGCAAGGACTCAGCCTCAGTAGATGGGTCACCAGCTCTACCGACTGAGCTAACCGGGCGCCCCGCACTAAGCTTCTTTTAAACTTCATTTGTTGTCTTCATCCTTCTTGTGCACACAACTTAATCCCACGACCCACAGTTTAATTTTTGACCACCTGCAGAAAAGTAAAAAACACCAGCCCCCATAAGATCTATGTTTGGTCCTGTGGGATGTACTGGATCTCAATCCAAGTGCAGCCCTCTACCCTACTCAGTAGCACAGACATGATTATAAATCCACATAACTCATTTAGACTGGATAGGTAAACTCGTGTGACCACAAAAATAAACCTGTTGAAGTAAAGAGGTGGTTTACTCACAGTTACAGTTAATCATGGAGTTCAAGGTTCTGTACTTAGACCAATTCTATTCACTTTATATATACTCCCTTAAGGCAACATTATTAGGAATCACTCCATTAACTTTGATTGTTACGCAGATGCTACCCAGTTATATCTATCGATCAAGCCCAATGAAATTAATCAATTATCTAAATTACAAACATTCCTTAAGGACATGAAAATATGTCATAAAAAATGAGCTGCAATTCTCTGATGTTAAACTTCTTGTACTTGGCCCCAAAAACCTCTGAGACTCACTGTCCAAAGATATAGTTACTCTAGATGGTTTTACCTTGGCCTCTAGCACCACTGTGGAGTTATCTTTTGATCAGGACATGTCATATAATTCCCACATAAAGCAAACCTCCAGGACTGCCTTCTTTCATCTCTCTGCTCTATTTGAAAAGTGTCCTGAGATAACTTCTGTTATGAATTGGCGCTATACAAATAAAATTGAATTGAATTGAATTGAATTTACTCCTGGTCCCACGACCAGGACCGAATCCACTTTGGTCCTCCTGGATCTGAGGCTCAACAATCGGTCAGAGTACACTACAATAAACTTTCCCAGGGAGGCTGAGCAGCGTGCTACCCTGATAATCGAGCACACCCTTCGGTTCCTGTTTTTAAATGGGAACCACCATCCAGGTCTGCCACTCCAGAGGCACTGTCCCTGACCTCCATGTGACACTGAAGATACAAGTCAGCCAAGACAGCCCAACAATGTCCAGAGTCTTCAGCGTCTCAGGCCAAATCTCATCCACAGTTTTGTGCACTGTCACTGAGAAGCTTCTTAAATATCTTGGAGACCTCTGCCAAGGAAATAGATGAGGCTTCCCCCAAGTCTTCAAATTCTGCCTCTTCCACAGAGGATGTAGTAGTTGGATTTATGAGTTCCTCAAAGTGCTTGACAATATCCACTATCCTACAATAGCCTCCCTGACCTCCTTCCACACCGGGGATTTTACTTTAGTGACCAATGAAATACACACACATCTAATGGTAAGTAGGGCTCATAAAATAATCTTGCACTGGGGTCCTACATTGATAGAAACGATGACCTCTTCCTCTCCCTTCGGGTTTGAGAGGGGAGGGAGGAGGAAGAGATAAATGAAGTGTATGACTCACAGAGAGTTCAGCAGCTTCTCTTCTCTCTGATAATGGAAGAAGTTGAACTCTGCTTTCCACAACTCCTCAACGCCTCCTGCAGGAGGCCGGAGCCTCCTCAGTTTGAGGATCTGCTCGTTTACATCCTGCTGTTCTTCATCTCTGTGCTCACTGCTGCTCTCAACCTGCTCGTCATCATCTCCATCTCCCACTTCAGGCAGAGATCAACCTCTCAGCTTCACCACATTTACTGTTAAACTGAAATGATGTTCAGAATGAATTTCAAAGCTTGTGTTGTCTATGAGCCTTTGTGTACTTGTGAAAACAGTTTGGAAGGTTTAGAAGAGTTGGAGTTGTAGAATCCACAGACTTCAGTTTCTCCTGCAGAGTGTTTTCACAGGTTTACAGAGGCTGATGTACAACCACAGACTTTCAGGTTATTTCTGCACAAACTAACAATCTTATTGAACTCTATTTGAGCCCTTAGCTCTCTTTTTATTGTGATGTACTGTGGCTTTAAAGTATTCTTACTGCGTTTATTGCACAGCTCTTTTTGGTGATAAGATTGGTGATGATACACAATGATGATAACCTCTCCCTGCAGGCAGCTCCACTCCCCCACCAACCTCCTCCTCCTCTCTCTGGCTGTCTCAGACTTCTTCGTGGGCCTCCTGGTGTTGCCGATTGAAGTCCTCATGACCGGAACCTGCTGGGTCCTGGGTGACATAATATGTGCTCTGTATTATGTCCTACCTTATACTGTTATCTCTGCCTCCGTGGGAAGCATGGTGCTCATATCAATCGACCGCTATGTGGCGGTTTGTGACCCTCTGCATTACCCCACCAGAGTCACTGAAAAACTAGCTGCCATCAGTATTTGTCTGTGTTGGATCTGCTCAGCTTTCTATGGCATTTTCATATTTTATGACCACCTGAAACAACCGGGCAGGTATAATTCCTGCTATGGAGAGTGTGTGGTTAGCGTAGCAGGAGATGTGGACCTTGCTGTCGCCTTTATTATTCCTATTACAGTCATTGTAGTTCTGTATATGAGAGTGTTTGTGGTAGCGGTGTCTCAGGCCCGTGCCATGCGCTCTCATGTTGCAGCTGTCAAACTCCAGTTTTCAGTGACTCTGACACAGAAATCTGAGCTGAAAGCAGCCAGGACTCTTGGCATTGCTGTTGCAGTTTTCCTGATTTGCTATTCTCCGTACTACTGTGTCTTACTCACAGGCAGCAACATCTTAGTCGGCTCATCAACTGAGGCCTTTATGAGCTTTCTGATGTACTTTAACTCCTGTCTGAACCCTGTGATCTATGCCTTGTTCTACCCCTGGTTTAGAAAAGCTGTTAAACACATAGTGACTCTTCAGATCCTGCAGCCTGACTCCTGTGATGCCAACATGCTGTAGAGACACACTGTGCTCTGATTAAAATTAGACTTTTTGTTTCGTTTTCATCATTAAATTTTACTTGACAGCCTTTGTAGGTTCTGTATTCTGAGTGAAAACGTGTGATTGTTGCTGCTGACAGATTTAAAGGAAGGAAAAATTCCTCCAAACTTTAGAGTATTTCAAGATGCACAGTTGCACATATTTATAAAATCCTTAATGAGCATTGATAACTATGGAAGCCCATTTGCACCAATGTGATGGGAAAAAAAGATTATGTAAGTAATTATAAGGAGAAAAAAAAAATATTATTATAGATTAATATATACAAGAAAATACTGACTTAGAATTACCAATTCATTATACTGAGATATAAAGTCAAATATTGAATAGTTTTCTCATTACAGTGACTTACAGAATCCTTTTGGTGGAAATGAGCTTCCACAGATAACCTATTTGGGGTCTTTGGTATATTAATTTGTAATGGGCTTGTGGTTTATTGGTTCGTGCTTAATAAACACCCAACACTGATGTTTTTTCTTACCTACAATTCAGAATATTTCCCCCTTTAATGTGCAGAACATGTAAGAATTGTAAAAAGTTGGTAGCTATGAGTATGTGGATGTAGATGACTGAAAACATTTGTCATTGCTGTTGCTAACATATTTTAATATATTTGAGTTATTGATACTTTTATGTACACAGACAACCATTAAACTACTCATACTCATAAATTACTGGAGATAATGAATTAATCTCATTAGCTGAGTTTCCGTCCAAATTTATCACGTTTCAACCAAATGTGGATTCAATTAGCAAAAGAAAATGAATAGAACTATTCTCTCAGAGTAGTTCATTATAATAAGCAGTAGGTGGCCCAAACTCACCCTTGCTAAGTCCCGCCCCTTTTTGCTCTGTGCTCCAATAACAGTTGAGCAAGCCTCCATCTTCCTTCCCTGTAGTTAGATATGCTATATGCTAGGCTAATCTGTGTTGGAAAGACAACCACATTTTTAATTTTAAAACATAAAAGAGACACATATATACTCACATTTTAAGGTAAACCCAACTAGCTTACAATTATTGTAAATTAGCTCTTATGTTCTGTCACCCGTTAATGGCAGATACAGTTAGTGGCAGTTAATTAGCAGTTAGCTGCTTTAGCTAAAGCTATCTGTCCTCGTGAAAACCAGGACATATTTTCAACATAAAATCTGATCCAGTTTCACCAAATCACTGAATACACTTAGAAAGCTGAGGTGAAACTCTAAAATACCACCAAGAATACCTGAAAAAACCTAAAACAGACTTCCTGTCACTGTTGGACAGATACTGCAGGAGACAGAGGAGATAAAACACCTCTCAGGGACTTTAAATTCTGATCTGATCATGTTGTTGTTCAGTAGATTGTTCAGTGGTTCTCAGTGGGTCAACAAACTTCAATAAGAACAAAACACCAGAATGAATAACAGAGGCTTTTATTCTGAAAAGTACAGCTGGCTGTTCACTGACCGCTGTCTGCAACATAATCCCGGGACCCATAGTTTAATCTTTGACCACCTGCAGAAAAGTAAAAAAACCCCAAACCAACCCCCATAAGATCTGTGTTTGGTCCTGTGGGATTTACTGGATCTCAATCCCAGTGCAGCCCTCGACCCTACTTAGTAGCGCAGACATGATCATAAGTCCACATAACTCTGTTGAAGTAAAGAGGTGGTTTACTCCTGGTCCCACGACCAGGACCGAATCCACTTTGGTCCTCCTGGATCTGAGGCTCAACAATCGGTCAGAGTACACTGCAATAAACTTTCCCAGGGAGGCTGAGGAGCGTGCTACCCTGATAATCGAGCACACCCTTCGGTTCCTGTTTTTAAATCGAAACCACCATCCAGGTCTGCCACTCCAGAGGCACTGTCCCTGACCTCCATGTGACACTGAAGAGACAAATCTCATCCACAGTTTTGTGCACTGTCACTGAGGAGCTTCTTAAATATCTTGGAGACCTCTGCCAGGGAAATGGGTGAGGCTTCCCCCAAGTCTTCAAACTCTGTCTCTTCCACAGAGGATGTAGTAGTTGGATTTATGAGTTCCTCAAAGTGCTTGACAATATCCACTATCCTACAATAGCCTCCCTGACCTCCTTCCACACTGGGGATTTTACTTTAGTGACCAATGGAGCCACAGCCCTTCTGACCACCCGGTATCATTCTGCTGCTTCACGACCCTGGACCAAGCAAACCAAAAGGCCTCTCTCTTCAGCTTGATGTCCCCCTTCACAGGTTGCCACCACAACTTGCACCAATAAACGTCTGACCATAACTCTGAGCGATGCACAATGGAGGCTTTGAATTCAGATTTCCATCACCTCTCAAACTCAGACGGGATGCATGACAATTTCTTCCGGAAGAAGGAATTGAAGACCTCACAGAAAGGGATCTGTTCACTTTCACTGCATGTTTGGGTTTACCAGATCTTCCCAGTCTACCAGTTCAGTCTTCCCCACCATGTGCTCCTGTCTCCCCCTGACACATTTGGTCACAGGTCTGATGATACAACCTCAAGGTCAGTCATTGATCTTTGGCCTATGGTGTTATGGTACCACGTACAATCTTGAACCAAACATTTTGTTTGTTATGGCCAATCCATGACTGACACAGAAGTCTAATAACAAAGCACCACTCTGGTTCAGATCAGTCAGGCCATTCCTCTCAATCAGCTCCAGGATGGCTAAGCTGGGGGCTCATGAGTATCTCCACATCTGCCCGGCACCTCGCACCCTGGGCAACTCCAGAAAAGAAGAAAGTCTAGTTTGGTATCAGACGCACTGTCATGTGCAGAGGTGAACCCGACTACTGTAGGTGGTACCGCTAAACCTACTGCACTAGCTTTGATTCCCACCTCCCCAGAGAGGTGAAATGTCACATCCCTAGAAACAGTTTGTCAGATTTTTCCTCGCAAGTTTACCACTAATCTTTGTTTTTCACTGTGAATTTAATCCACTTGAATTTCCAAAATTCTGAATTTTCAAGAACACACACATCTAATGGTAAGTAGGGCTCATAAAATAATCTTGCACTGGGGTCCTACATTGATAGAAACGATGACCTCTTCCTCTCCCTTCGGGTTTGAGAGGGGAGGGAGGAGGAAGAGATAAATTAAGTGTATGACTCACAGAGAGCTCAGTAGCTTCTCTTCTCTCTGATGATGGAAGAAGTTGAACTCTGCTTTCCACAACTCCTCAACGCCTCCTGCAGGAGGCCGGAGCCTCCTCAGTTTGAGGATCTGCTCGTTTACATCCTGCTGTTCTTCATCTCTGTGCTCACTGCTGCTCTCAACCTGCTCGTCATCATCTCCATCTCCCACTTCAGGCAGAGATCAACCTCTCAGCTTCACCACATTTACTGTTAAACTGAAATGATGTTCAGAATGAATTTCAAAGCTTGTGTTGTCTATGAGCCTTTGTGTACTTGTGAAAACAGTTTGGAAGGTTTAGAAGAGTTGGAGTTGTAGAATCCACAGACTTCAGTTTCTCCTGCAGAGTGTTTTCACAGGTTTACAGAGGCTGATGTACAACAACAGGCTTTCAGGTTATTTCTGCACAAACTAACAATCTTATTGAACTCAATTTGAGCCCTTAGCTCTCTTTTTATTGTGATATACTGTGGCTTTAAAGTATTCTTACTGCGTTTATTGCACAGCTCTTTTTGGTGATAAGATTGGTGATGATACACAGTGATGATAACCTCTCCCTGCAGGCAGCTCCACTCCCCCACCAACCTCCTCCTCCTCTCTCTGGCTGTCTCAGACTTCTTCGTGGGCCTCCTGTTTTTGCCGATGGTTCTCTTTACAAGGACCTGCTGGGTCCTGGATGACCTCATGTGTGCTCTGTATTTCTTGCTACCGGTCACCCTCATCTCTGCCTCCGTGGGAAGCATGGTGCTCATATCAATCGACCGCTATGTGGCGGTTTGTGACCCTCTGCATTACCCCACCAGAGTCACTGAAAAACTAGTAAATGTCAGTATTTGTCTGTGTTGGATCTGCTCAGCTTTCTATGGCATTTTTATATATTATGACCACCTGAAACAACCGGGCAGGTATAATTCCTGCTATGGAGAGTGTGTGGTTAACATTGCAGGAGATGTGGACCTTGTTGTCGCCTTTATTATTCCCATTACAGTCATTGTAGTTCTGTATATGAGAGTGTTTGTGGTAGCGGTGTCTCAGGCCCGTGCCATGCGCTCTCATGTTGCAGCTGTCAAACTCCAGTTTTCAGTGACTCTGACACAGAAATCTGAGCTGAAAGCAGCCAGGACTCTTGGCATTGCTGTTGTAGTTTTCCTGATTTGCTATTCTCCGTACTACTGTGTCTTACTCACAGGCAGCAACATCTTATTCGGCTCATCATCTGAGGCCTTTCTGACCCTTCTGATTTACTTTAACTCCTGTCTGAACCCTGTGATCTATGCCTTGTTCTACCCCTGGTTTAGAAAAGCTGTTAAACACATAGTGACTCTTCAGATCCTGCAGCCTGACTCCTGTGATGCCAACATGCTGTAGAGACACACTGTGCTCTGATTAAAATTAGACTTTTTGTTTCGTTTTCATCATTAAATTTTACTTGACAGCCTTTGTAGGTTCTGTATTCTGAGTGAAAACGTGTGATTGTTGCTGCTGACAGATTTAAAGGAAGGAAAAACTCCTCCAAACTTTAGAGTATTTCAAGATGCACAGTTGCACATATTTATAAAATCCTTAATGAGCATTGATAACTATGGAAGCCCATTTGCACCAATGTGATGGGAAAAAAAGATTATGTAAGTAATTATAAGGAGAAAAAAATATATATTATTATATATTAATATATACAAGAAAATATTGACTTAGAATTACCAATTCATTATACTGAGATATAAAGTCAAAATATTGAATATTCTCTCATTACAGTGACTTACAGAATCCTTTTGGTGGAAATGAGCTTCCACAGATAACCTATTTGGGGTCTTTGGTATATTAATTTGTAAAGTGCTTGTGATTTATTGGTTCGTGCTTAATAGTAAACACTCAACACTGATGTTTTCTTCATGGTCAGGCCCCTTCATATCTTAAAGAGCTCATAGTACCCTATTACCCCTCTAGAACACTGCGTTCTCTGAATGCTGGGCTACTTGTGGTTCCTATAGTCTCTAAAAGTAGAACAGGAGCCAGAGCCTTCAGTTACCAAGCTCCTCTCCTGTGGAACCAGCTTCCAGTTGTGGTTCGGGAGGCAGACACCCTCACCGCATTCAAGAGTAGGCTTAAGACATTCCTCTTTGATAAAGCTTATAGTTAGGGCTGGATCAGGTGAGTCCTGAACCATCCCTTAGTTATGCTGCTATAGGCCTAGACTATCGGGGGATTTCCCATGGTGCACTGAGCTCCTCTCTTCCTCTCTCTTTCTGCACTCATTCATGTTCCATTAATGCATGTTATTAACTTCACTTCTTCCCCGGAGTTCTTGTGCTTTCTCGTCTCGAGGGTTCTCATGGATCCTGGTGGAGCCTCCTGCCATGGTCCTGCTTGACTGCCATTATTAATATTACTAATATTATTAGGGACCTTATTTTTACCTATTTTTAGCCCCTTCGACTGCATATTTGGAGGCCGCAACATGCTCGATAACTCATTAAACGCGGCGCACATGTCAGACGTGGCGAAAAATTTTTTTTAGGGGTCCACTATGAGCATGGCATGGGTCTCTGTAAATAATGTTATAAGGAGTTTGGTCTAGACCTGCTCTATTTGAAAAGTGTTGCCAAAGCAAAGCATCAAAATACAGTAAGTCGAAATATTCAGACAATACACAATATAAAAGATATATACATTATGAACATTATATTAGTTATATACAGTGTGTGTGTGTGTGTGTGTGTGTGTGTGTGTCTGTGTGTGCGTGTGTGTCTCTGTGTGTGTGTGTCTGTGTGTGTGTGTGTGCGTGTGTGTGTGTGTGTGTGTGTGTGTGTGTGTGCGTGTGTCTCTGTGTGTGAGTGTGTGTCTCTGTGTGTGTGTGTGTGTGTGCGTCTGTCTGTCTGTCTGTCTGTCTGTCTGTCTGTGTGTGTGTGTGTGTGTGTGTGTGTGTGTGTGTGTGTGTGAGTGTGTGTCTCTGTGTGTGTGTGTGTGTGCGTCTGTCTGTCTGTCTGTCTGTCTGTCTGTGTGTGTGTGTGTGTGTGTGTGTGCCCGCTCTCCTTCTCCAGGATTATTTGTAATGTGGAGAGGTCGTTCAGCTCTTTGAAATCTGGAACCAAAGAACTTAAATAAATGTTTCTAGTATTATTTAATGTTGTACATTGTAGGAGAAAGTGCATCTCTGTCTCAACCTCACCTGTCCAACAGTGACCACATTGTCTGTTTTCTTTTGGTTGCCATGATGTTTTGTGTCTTCCTGTTTGGATTGGCGGTTTGTGGTCACTGAGCCTGTACTTGGTTAGGATCTGTCTCTGCTTTCTATCTCTGACAGTAGAGAGATATTCTGCTCATTCATAATCTCTTTTAAGGGCAAGATAACATTCCAATCTACTTTGGCTTTTAGTTGTTTCTTCCCAATGGTCCAGATAGCTTTCTTTACATTGTGCTATCATTTACTCTGATTACTGTTTGTAGAGCAGTGTTGTTGTGAGGCTGGTCAGAGTGTGTCTGAGAGGGGGCAGTTAGCCTCAGTACCAACTGACATAGGGGACTCTTTTCTGGGCTCAGCTCTTGGGTTTGGAGGCCTTTGGAGTGGAGGGTGTCTCTGGGGCTGGATTTCAGGTGGTTAAAAAAGTTGAGCGTTCTCTTCTGAATGTTAATTATCTACATGCATTTGTTGGTGTGTTTCTGTGTACGTGTAAAATGTATCTGCAGAATTCTGCATGTAGAGATTCTGTTGGATGTTTGTCCCAACGGGTAAAGCTCTGATGACTGAGTGGACCCCATACTTCACTACCGTACAGCGCAATGGGCTGGATGACACTATCAAATATTTTAAGCCAGATTTTTATTGAAATATGGAAATTATAAAATGTTCTCTTAATTGCATATAGAGCTCTTTGAGCTTTTTCTTTTAGTGCATTCACTGCCATGTTGAAACTCCCTGATGCTGTTATGGTTATACCAAGGTAGGTATAACTCATGCTGTGTTCAATGACATGATTATTGATGGTAAATTGGTGTTTGTTCTCATGACACCTGGGGCGTTTTTGAAAGATCATGACATTGGTTTTCTTCATGTTTACTGCCAGGGCCCAGTTCTGACGGTACTTTTCTACTACGTCCAGTTGTAGCTGTAGTCCTTGTTCAGTAGGAGACAGTAGAACAAGGTCATCAGCATAAAACAGAGACTTCACCTCTCTATCTAGGAGGGAGAGGCCCGGAGCAGCACATTTATCTAACTCAACAGCCAGTTCATTTATATACACATTAAATAAAGTCGGACTTAGATTGCAACCCTGCCGAACGCCTCTTCTCTGGGGGAAGAAATCAGTTAGTTTGTCTCCAATTTTAACGGCACACGTTTTCCAAATACATCGATTTAACATACATTTTGCCACCTATACCACAGTTTAAAAGTCTGTAATAGAGCCCTTCATGCCAAATAGAGTCGAAAGCTTTCTTGAAATCAATAAAGCAGGTGAATATTTTTCCATTCTTAGTTTGTTGTACATGTTTGTTGATTAAAGTGTGAAGGGTATATACACTGTCGGTGGTGCTGTGTTTTGGGAGGAAGCCAATCTGACTTTTACTTAAGATTGACTGTTCCTCAAGGAAATCTCGTATTCTTGTATTAAGAATACTACAGAATAGTTTACCTAGACAGCTGCTGACACAGATGCCACGGTAGTTATTAGGGTCTGATTTGTCCCCACTCTTATGAATGGGGGAAATGAGCCCTTTGCACCAGATGTTGGGAAAACATCCTGCCTGTAATATAACATTGAACAAATGTAACATTGCACCCTGCATTTATGGGGTGCTGCGTTTCTAATGCTGTCTGGACCACAAGCTTTTCTTGGCCTCAGACATTTTATCTGTGTGGTTATTTCTTCCCAAGTAATTTCAAAATCAAGGGGGTTTTGGTTGTCTTTAATTGTTTTTTCTAATTTTTGGAGTTTTTCTTTCATAATACACTGATCTGAATTGATTTGATTGATTGGTATGTCTTTGTACAGATTTTCAAAATGTGATCTCCAGATGTCACCGTTTTGGATGGGTAATGTCTGCTGTTGCTTTGTGTTGAACTTGTTCCACATATCCCAGAATTGATTTTGGTTAATGGCATTCTCAATATCTTCCAGTTTCAATTGGGTATAATTTTGTTTTTTGATCCTAATTGTGTATTTATATGTATTTAAAATTTCATTGTATCGAATGCGCAGGGCTGGGTTGTTCGGTTGGCGATGTTTCTCATTTGCAATTTTTCTCAGCTCTTTTCTGATTGTCTTGCATTCTTGATCAAACCATTTGTCAGTATTTTGCCTTTTAACAGGTCTCCATCTTTGCTTTATGAGGTCAGCCCTAATAGCTGCCTTATGAAATATCATATTGTTATCCTCAATAGCCTTGTTTACCCCATCTCTGCTAGGGACATATTGATTGATCAAGGTTATTCCGTCAGGTGATGTTTGGTGTGGTAAACAGGGGGTCCTGACCGAATACATGGTTGTTGCCCTGTGTGTCAATGATATCAGGTTCAATTCCTGTACGTCCATTCAGATCTCCAGTTAGAAGTACATTTCCCTGGGCCTGGAAATAGGCGATTTCTGAATTTAGGGTGTCAAAAATGTCCTCTTCAAAATAAGGAGAATCCACTGGGGGTATGTAAATTGCACAGAGGTATAGATCCCTATCGGTTACGCCTAGGCTTTGATTTAACCTCAACCAAATGTGCGATTTACCCTGTTTTACTGGTGAGATCTGATTGCAAAGATCTCCTTTATACCACACCAAAATCCCCCCTGATGTTCTGCCCTTGCATATGTTTTTTAGTTTTATGGAGGGCACCATGACTTCATTATATCCTTGGGGACAGTGAGTGAGCAAATCATCTTGACACCATGTTTCTGTCACAATGATATCAACGTCTTTGATAGATTTCATGAACTCAGGGTTTCCACTCTTCAGCTCAAAGGTTGAGGAGTGGAGACCCTGAATATTCCAACAGCTTATATGAAATGAACGCATCAAAAAAGAAAACAATCAAAATGAACCTGTATAGTGAGACAAATATTTAAAAAACCTTCTACTATCTATATATTTAAAATTATAATTTGATATTAATTCCATGGAGATGTACTATTTTCAATAATATTACCATTGTACTGACTACTACTATTGCTATTACTATTACTAACTAACAAATATATGTCCATGTTGTTTCGTAACTCAAATGGGAAAGTGCTCTGAGTAAATATATCTTAGCTGGACAGAAGCCGGGTGCACAGGGTGTGCAGCATCTCCCTGATGTCTCTCAGCTCACAGGTAGCAGGGGGAGGGGCTGTGACAGCAGGCCGGGCTACAGTTGCAGCATAGCCCTGCTGCTGTGGGTGGGGGGGGGACGTGCTGCTCCATGGGTCTGCTGCCGATGCTGTATAAGGGGTTGTTGGGCAGGGACTGAGGAGGGGGAAAGTGGCCTCAGCTGGTTTGTTTCACAGTGGTGAGGTGGTGGGCGTGTGGGTAGTGTGGGGTCCGGGCTGAGCTGGTGTGTCTCCTCACAGCAGGGGGGGATGATCCGGGGCTGGTGATGGGGGGAGGTCTGTTATGGTCTCTGAAGCTTCTGGTAGAAGAGAGGGTTGAAGGGCTGTGTCCTAGGGCCGTGTCTTTGACGGTCTTGCAAAGATATTCACCTTATCTCTGTGTAGATGGAGTCCATCGTAGAGGTCCAAGGTGCCAGTGGTTGGATGGAGGGCCAGGTGGACGTTGGGTAAGGTGGCCCAACCTCTTCTGATCTCCATATTGATGTCATGGATGACGTGAGGAGGGGTATCAGTCCTAGGCAGCAGGGTGGAGATCACGATGCGGGTGTTAGGGAATTCCTTGGTGGCCTGCTCCGCCATCTTCCTCACTGCCTCAGCAGTGTTCCTTCAGAGGTTGTGCAGGTCATTTGTTCCTGTGTGAATCACCAGGCATTGAGGGCTCCCGAGGGTCTCCTTTCTCGACAGCTTTATTGCCTGGCCTGTGGTGCTGCAACGTTTAGACAGCACTTTCTTAGAAGGAAAAGGCTTGTTGGTGTCCAGGAATTTCCCGTTTGAGTCAGCTAGCAGGACCACTTGTGGGGCTTGTTCTTCAGACTGAGTGGAGGGCAGCTGGGATGGACAGAGTTGGCTGTGTGCGTGTTGGTAGGGTGCAGAGCAGAGATGGTGGACAGAGACAAGGCAGGGGTTTGGAAGACTAGCAGTCTGTGTCTCTGTCTCTGTAGTTGTCTTTGTGGGGACTGTTGAGAGTTGGTCTGTCAGGTGTCGGACTTGCCTGGTGAAGTTCCTTTCTCTGTTCTCAGCGTCCTCCTTCACTTTGGCTAACTGAGCCCGGAGCACACTGTTCTCCTGTTTTAGTGCCTCTACACTTCCTCTTAGCTCAGATGTCGAGGCCTGGTTGTTCCTCTTGAAGCTGATGCACAATGTTGTCTAGGGGGGCAGACAGCCTGGCCTGGGTCAGCTCTTTGAATTCAGCAAAGTCCAGCTCCAGCAGGACCATACTCTCCTTCAGCTGGTTGGTGGAGCTGGCAGGTGTGGGAGGGGCAGAGATGGACAAGGTGGTGGAGTTCTCTGTTGGGCTCTCATCATCTTCACTGTCACACAGAACATTGCACCTCTTGGTGTCCACCTCAGCTTTGATTAGGGAGAAAACTTCTTCAAAGGATTTCAAGTTTGCTTCGCCCCCCCGGACCATCACCTTTCCCTTTGTGTAGTAGATGATGGTGAGCAGTTGATACACAGTTGCCAGCTAGCTTTTGACAGTCTGCTGGTTGTTTTCATTTAAAAAATATATCCAAAAATGTTATTTTCTTTCTTCTGTTTTGCTGATAAAGTATTTACCTTTTCTTTTTGAAATTCAATGTTTTTTTTTGCAAAATGTCCCACTGTTTAGGTCCATGTTTGAGATGAATTCAGGAGCACATTTTTCATGTAGCCTTCTCTCTTGGAAGGGTTCTGTCTCTCTCTCTCTCTCTTACTCTCTTTCACCCCAACTGGTCGAGACAGACGACCACCCACCTAGAGTCGGGGTCTGTCAGAGGTTTCTGCCTCTTAAAGGAAGTTTTTCCTTGCCGCCATCGCCAAGTGCTTGCTCATGGTGGGAATTGTTGGGTCTCTGTAATTAATGCTATAAGGAGTTCGGGCTAGGCCTGCTCTATTTGAAAAATTTGAAAAGTGTCCTGAGATAACTTCTGTTATGAATTGGCGCTATACAAATAAAATTGAATTGAATTTATGTTTTTTCTTACCTACAATTGAGAATATTTTGCCTGTAAATGATCAGAACATATAAGAATTGTAAAAAGTTGGTAGCTATGAGTATGTGGATGTAGATGACTGAAAACATTTGTCATTGCTGTTGCTAACATATTTTAATATATTTGAGTTATTGATACTTTTATGTACACAGACAACCATTAAACTACTCATACTCATAAATTACTGGAGATAATGAATTAATCTCATTAGCTGAGTTTCCGTCCAAATTTATCACGTTTCAACCAAATGTGGATTCAATTAGCAAAAGAAAATGAATAGAACTATTCTCTCAGAGTAGTTCATTATAATAAGCAGTAGGTGGCCCAAACTCACCCTTGCTAAGTCCCGCCCCTTTTTGCTCTGTGCTCCAATAACAGTTGAGCAAGCCTCCATCTTCCTTCCCTGTAGTTAGATATGCTATATGCTAGGCTAATCTGTGTTGGAAAGACAACCACATTTTTAATTTAATTTTAAAACATAAAAGAGACACATATATACTCACATTTTAAGGTAAACCCAACTAGCTTACAATTATTGTAAATTAGCTCTTCTGTTCTGTCACCCGTTAATGGCAGATACAGTTAGTGGCAGTTAATTAGCAGTTAGCTGCTTTAGCTAAAGCTATCTGTCCTCGTGAAAACCAGGACATATTTTCAACATAAAATCTGATCCAGTTTCACCAAATCACTGAATACACTTAGAAAGCTGAGGTGAAACTCTAAAATACCACCAAGAATACCTGAAAAAACCTAAAACAGACTTCCTGTCACTGTTGGACAGATACTGCAGGAGACAGAGGAGATAAAACACCTCTCAGGGACTCTAAATTCTGATCTGATCATGTTGTTGTTCAGTAGATTGTTCAGTGGTTCTCAGTGGGTCAACAAACTTCAATAAGAACAAAACACCAGAATGAATAACAGAGGCTTTTATTCTGAAAAGTACAGCTGGCTGCAACTGGCGGCTCATTTCCACTGATATTTAACTAATACTGTCTGAGAACTGTGGCTTCAACTCAAATTACCCAGAAAGCTTTTTTTCTAATTAAGTCTTTAGACTGAAGGCACGACGGCTTCAAACTGGGATTAAATGACAGTGACTCGACTTATTTTATGGTTTTCAGGAAACAGGATTGCTCTTATTATAGTCGATTCTTCAGTGAGTCAGACGACAATTGAAAGCAGATCAGTTGGACGGCAGGAGAGCAGCGCAGGGTCACAGTGAACTGGACGACCATGTCCATAGCTGCTCAGGCGTTGAGGTACTTGGCGTGGTGCTTGATGTGATCGTGCATGAAGGAGTAGATGAAGAAGTAGCTGTGGTCGTAGCCCTGCAGGATGAAACGCAACATTACGGCCACAGAGCAACAGAGTTTGTACAATCGTTCAGTTTAACAAACAAAAATTTGAATGAAATTTGTCCCTGGAGTTTCCCCCCTACATGATACAAAGGCATTAACGCAACTGTATGTTAACTGATGTTGAGGTATCCTGCGGTGGTTTTTCTAGTGGTTTCGGAAGTTAAGGCGAAGACAAAACACGATTCTTTCCACAAAACGAATCATTTTCGAGCAGAATTGAAGTTCAGGCCTTTTGCCTTTGCAGCGCTGAAGTCTCGTTCTGACAACCTGGTTTTAACAGCAGTCACCGCCCCCGAAACACTCGTCCACTTACTGCTTTGTTCATGTTTCGAGCCACAATTCAGCTCACTTACGTTTATCGTTCTTTCAGTTTTGAGGAGAGTTTTTGTTTTGAGCAACAAGCTGAATTTGTCGCAGATAAGGTCAAATAAGGTTGTTCTTCATTTTCACCACAATCAGACGTCCTCCGATCAATCCTTGTCTTAAACTCTGGATCACACCACACTACCTCACTCGGCTGTAAGCAAACACACAGACTGTATTTTGCAGAACTGAAAATAATTTAGATTTTCTTTTACTTTGGAAACAAACTGGGACCAGAAAAGAAAACCTGTAGTGGCATTCTGAGTTGGATTATCTGTCTTTTTGGGATGTGGGATGAAGACTTGACCTAAGAGTTTTTGTTGTCAGTATTAGTGTCATTCAGTTTAAGGGTGTACATTTTGTTGTGTGTGCATCCTTATGGGCAGTTACACAACAAAACCAACCAATAACCTGGCGGGCACACCAACTAAAAAACAAGTCTTCTGAAGATTTCCTAACACAAAGTAGCTGCTTGAACGACCGCTGACAAACGTATGCCCTCTGCTTTAACAACACGCCTTACCTGAAACGATGCTCTCTGCAGTGAAACAACCTGGAGATACTTTTAAAACACTAACTGTTTCCACCCAGTTTCAGTAACAAAATCTGAGAGAAAGTCTACAGTTTCTACTGAACGAAGTGTTTAGAGGAACAGAATCGGATATATGAAACTGATCGGCTGGTTGATTCAACTGTTTATTTTGGCAGATTGTTAAACTAACTAGGTTTTTATTACTTAACTTAATTTCTAGTATTTGTCGGTCTTTACTAGATATGATCAATCTTTCTTTATTGTCAGGATATGTACCACAGTCCTTTAAAGTAGCTGTTGAATTAAACCCCTTCTTACAAAGCCCACTCTCGACCGAGGGGTTTTAGCCAATTATAGACCGATTTCTAACCTCCCCTTCCTCTCTAAGATTCTGGAGAAAGTAGTCGCCAAACACTTGTATTATTAGATCTTAGTGCTGCATTTGACACCATTGATCATAATATTCTTTTACAGAGACTTGAGCATCAAATTGGCATTAAAGGAACCGCACTAAGCTGGTTTAAGTCATATTTATCAGATCGCTCGCAGTTTGTACATGTTAAAGATGAATCTTCCATAAATACTACAGTTAGTCATGGAGTTCCACAAGGTTCTGTACTTGGACCAATACTATTTACTTTATATATGCTCCCTTTAGGCAACATAATTAGGAATCACTCCATTAACTTTCACTGTTATGCAGATGATACGCAGTTATATCTATCAATCAAACCCAATGAAATTAATCAATTATCTAAATTACAAACATGTCTTAAGGACATAAAATCCTGGATGACCTGCAATTTTCTGATGTTAAACTCAGAAAAAAACGAAATTCTTGTTCTTGGCCCCAAAAACCTTAGAGACTCACTGTCTAAAGATATAGTTACTCTAGATGGCATTAACTTGGCCTCTAGCACCACTGTCAGGAATCTTGGAGTTATCTTTGATCAGGATTTGTCATTTAACTCCCACATAAAGCAGACCTCTAGGACTGCCTTCTTTCATTTATGTAATATTACATAAATTAGACGCATACTATCACAGACAGATGCAGAAAAACTAATCCATGCATTTGTTACTTCAAGGCTGGATTACTGCAACTCTTTATTATCAGGTTGCCCCAATAAGTCCATTAAAACGCTCCAATTAACTCAGAACGCTGACAGAAACTAGAAAAAGAGATCACATCTCTCCTGTACTAGCTTCTCTGCATTGGCTCCCTGTAAAATGTAGAATAGAATTTAAAATCCTCCTCCTCACCTATAAAGCTCTTCATGGTCAGGCCCCTTCATATCTTAAAGAGCTCATAGTACCCTATTACCCCTCTAGAACACTACGCTCTCTGAATGCTGGGCTACTTGTGGTTCCTATAGTCTCTAAAAGTAGAACAGGAGCCAGAGCCTTCAGTTACCAAGCTCCTCTCCTGTGGAACCAGCTTCCAGTTGTGGTTCTGGAGGCAGACACCCTCACCACATTCAAGAGTAGGCTTAAGACATTCCTCTTTGATAAAGCTTATAGTTAGGGCTGGATCAGGTGAGTCCTGAACCATCCCTTAGTTATGCTGCTATAGGCCTAGACTATCGGGGGATTTCCCATGGTGCACTGAGCTCCTCTCTTCCTCTCTCTTTCTGCACTCATTCTTGTCCCATTAATGCATGTTACTAACTTCACTTCTTCCCCGGAGTTCTTGTGCTTTCTCGTCTTGAGGGTTCTCATGGATCCTGGTGGAGCCTCCTGCCATGGTCCTGCTTGACTGCCATTATTAATATTACTAATATTAATAGGGACCTTATTTTTACCTATTTTTAGCCCCTTCGACTGCATATTTGGAGGCCGCACCATGCTCGATAACTCATTAAACGCGGCGTACATGTCAGTCGTGGCGAAAAATTTCGGATTTTCTAGGGGTCCACTATGAGCATGGCATGGGTCTCTGTAAATAATGTTATTAGGAGTTCGGTCTAGACCTGCTCTATTTGAAAAGTGTCCTGAGATAACTTCTGTTATGAATTGGTGCTATATAAATAAAGTTTAACTGAATTGAATTGAACTACCTGATTCACCTACCAGACAACCTGTCACAGCGAGGTGCTTCTCCCAGCATGCAACTGTTGTAATGTAATTAAAATGATCTGTGACATTTTCCGGTGAAGAATCTGTGCTTTTACTGTGACAGACTGAAAGAACTGACCGGCTGCAGTCTGAAGACAACAGGGATTTTCTTCTCAGAGCAGACGGCGATCAGGTTGTCGGGCAGCAGCTGACTGGCCGTCAGGAACTGGTCGTCGCGGCCCTGATCAATAAGGATGTCGAGCTGAGGACCGGAGTACGCCGCCGCCAACACGGTGGCATCGTACGCCTGAAAGAGAACCAGAGGAGAGTTTAGTTTGTTGGTGGATCCTCTACAGGCTGAAGAATCTGTGTCATCCTCTTACCTCCCACGTGGACCTGTCAGAGCCCAGGTATCCTGAGAAGGCTTTCTGTCCCCAGGGACACTGCATCGGGTTACAGATGGGAGCGAATGCAGACACAGCCTGCAGGAGACAGACGAGGACAAACAATAAGTGTTTTTGTCTCTGGAGTCTAGTGGAGAGTGATAGTGATATTACGGCTGTTTGTGGTTAAACTAAAGGTCTATCTCTGTAGGGATCCTTTCCATAATGCTGTCAGACACTGACAACGTTACGCGCATTGACGGCTGGTGGAGATTTTGGGTGGGTGGGCTAACAAATGCATTACACTCATCAATACGTCATACAGCAGCAACAGCAGCATCACATCGAGTTACAGCAACAACATTGTATACTTTGTTATAGCAAGGGCTCTACAGCAACACTGGGGAGACAAACCCAAAAGAATGACCTGATGCCAAAAAAATCTCTCTCTCTCTCTCTCTCTCTCTCCTCTGTTCACATCAGCACATGCCAATTGTGCTACGACTACATCATAGAAAAGTACCAGTTTGCAACACCATGTATCAGAAATAAATCTATAAAACCAAAGCAAAAATAATTATTTGTAGAAGAGAGAGTTGTTTCAGAGCCTGGGCATACCTTATTTAAAAAGCAGTTCACATCGACACAAACAGGTTAATCACCATGTCAAACTCCACAGTGCTGTACCTCACCATCAACTCACCTTTCAGTTTCTCCCTGCAGATCATTGGCTAATGTGCACATGCAAAGACACCAAGTGCCTGGCTTTCTCAAAGAGAGCCTTTGACCTTTCATTAAGTCACAGCACTGTGCGGCTACTGACACATTATCAGAGCGCCGCATCCTGCGCAGCGTTACAGCAGCTGCAGCTGTGTCTGCATCTGGATGTGGCTGATGGTCATCTGTGGTCAGCAGTTCAGATATGAAGCACGAAAATGATCCAGGGCCTGTCTCGTTCTGAGAGAATCTGCGGTCTTGGACGTGTACTTTGCAACCTGTGTGTTGGACAGGTGATGGGTTGATTGACTTTGTTAAAAAGAGAACTGGTGGCCACTGGTGGCCACTTTTTTCTGCTATCGATCTTCATCAGTTAACTTCAATCATTTCTTCATCGAAGCCATCAACCTGTCTATTAGACCCGATCCCAACTAGGCTGCTTAAAGAAGTTGTTCCCTTAATTGGCACTTCTTTACTGGATATGATTAATCTTTCTTTATTATCAGGATATGTACCACAGTCCTTTAAAGTAGCTGTAATTAAACCCCTTCTTAAAAAGTCCACTCTTGACCCAGGGGTTTTAGCCAACTATAGAGCGATTTCTAACCTCCCGTTCCTCTCTAAGATTCTGGAGAAAGTAGTCGCCAAAGAGTTGTGTGACTTTCTACATAACAATAGTTTATTTGAGGATTTTCAGTCAGGATTTAGAGTTCATCATAGCACAGAGACAGCTCTGGTTAAAGTTAATAATGACCTTCTGACTGCTTCTGACAATGGACTTGTCTCTGTACTTGTATTATTAGATCTTAGTGCTTCATTTGACACCATTGACCATGATATTCTTTTACAGAGACTTGAGCATCAAATTGGCATTAAAGGAACTGCCCTAACCTGGTTTAAGTCATACTTATCAGATCGTTCTCAGTTTGTACATGTTAACGATGAATCCTCCATAAATACTAAAGTTAGTCATGGAGTTCCACAAGGTTCTGTACTTGGACCAATACTATTTACTTTATATATGCTCCCTTTAGGCAACATTATTAGGAATCACTCCATTAACTTTCACTGTTATGCAGATGATACGCAGTTATATCTATCAATCAAACCCAATGAAATTAATCAATTATCTAAATTACAAACATGTCTTAAGGACATAAAATCCTGGATGACCTGCAATTTTCTGATGTTAAACTCAGAAAAAACGAAATTCTTGTTCTTGGCCCCAAAAACCTTAGAGACTCATTGTCTAAAGATATAGTCACTCTAGATGGCATTAACTTGGCCTCTAGCACCACTGTCAGGAATCTTGGAGTTATCTTTGATCAGGATTTGTCATTTAACTCCCACATAAAGCAGACCTCTAGGACTGCCTTCTTTCATTTACGTAATATTAGAAAAATTAGACACATACTATCACAGACAGATGCAGAAAAACTAATCCATGCATTTGTTACTTCAAGGCTGGATTACTGCAACTCTTTATTATCAGGTTGCCCCAATAAGTCCATTAAAACGCTCCAATTAATTCAGAACGCTGCAGCACGAGTACTGACAGGAACTAGAAAAAGAGATCACATCTCTCCTGTACTAGCTACTCTGCATTGGCTCCCTATAAAATGTAGAATTTAATTTAAAATCCTCCTCCTCACCTATAAAGCTCTTCATGGTCAGGCCCCTTCATATCTTAAAGAGCTCATAGTACCCTATTACCCCTCTAGAACACTACGTTCTCTGAATGCTGGGCTACTTGTGGTTCCTATAGTCTCTAAAAGTAGAACAGGAGCCAGAGCCTTCAGTTACCAAGCTCCTCTCCTGTGGAACCAGCTTCCAGTTGTGGTTCGGGAGGCAGACACCCTCACCGCATTCAAGAGTAGGCTTAAGACATTCCTCTTTGATAAAGCTTATAGTTAGGGCTGGATCAGGTGAGTCCTGAACCATCCCTTAGTTATGCTGCTATAGGCCTAGACTATCGGGGGATTTCCCATGGTGCACTGAGCTACTCTCTTCCTCTCTCTCTCTGCACTCATTCATGTCCCTTTAATGCATGTTACTAACTCCACTTCTTCCCCGGAGTTCTTGTGCTTTCTCGTCTCGCAGGTTCTCATGGATCCTGGTGGAGCCTCCTGCCATGGTCCTGCTTGACTGCCATTGCCAATACTGTTGTTGCTGTGCGTCTGTCTGTCTGTCTGTCGCTCTCTCTCTCTCTCTCTCTCACCCCAACTGGTCGAGACAGACGACCACCCACCTAGAGCCGGAGGATCTGTCCTAGGTTTCTGCCTTTTAACAGGCAGTTTTTCCTTGCCCTTGTCGCCAAGTGCTTGCTCATGGTGGTACTGTTGGGTCTCTGTAATTAATGTTAAAGAGTTCGGTCTAGACCTGCTCTATTTGAAAAGTGTCCTGAGATAACTTCTGTTATGAATTGGCGCTATACAAATAAAATTGAATTGAATTGAATTGAATACTTGGGCTGAATGAATTGAGCCCATTCACAGGAAAAAAGCCAGGATATATCATATATCCTGGGTTTTCTGTCACTTTTTGGTGTTGTTGCTGCTCTAGGTTCTAACAAAATTCAAAACAATATGTTCTAAAGTTTTTAATAATAGTTTTTCAGCTTTACTGTAAAAGATAGGGGGGGCTTAGCACTGTTAGCCCATATATACCAGCCGTCCCTGGTTACGTGGCAGCCATAGCAGCCTGTTTTGCTAATATTTTCTCATCCAACTCTATGAATTAAGATTTATTTTGATCAACCTATAGTTGGTGATTGTTGGAAAGACTAACAAAGACAAATAAAGTTTTATTTTATTTCTGCCCACTTTTAAGTGTTTTATTATTTGTGAGGTAGAATCAATGGAGTCTGGTGGGCCGTAGTGATGGTGCAACATATAGTGGCAGTAAATTTCATAGATAGAACATTTAAAGTTCTGCACTACTTCAGTTGTTCTTTCAGCATCTTGCCGAGTGATAAGCAGTACCTTGTATTTCCCAGGGTTCTTCAGGGCACAGATGAGCGCCCCGTGGCCGCCCATAGAGTGACCGCTGATGGACATCCTGTCTGGGTCGGTGGGGAAGTTAGCATTGATCAGTTTGGGGAGCTGAAAGAAAGAAAGATCATCCAGAACACTCATGAGCTGAAATAGAAAAGTTGAGTTTTTCAGGTGAGAAGGTGACTTAAATCCAACCCACCTCCGTGGTGACGTAGGAGTACATGCGGTAGTTGGTCTTCCAGGGGTCCTCCGTGGAGTCGACATAGAAACCAGCTCCAGTGCCGAAATCCCAGTTCTCATCCTCCCCCTCGATGTTACAACCACCTGATGTATGATGGGAAACATCAGTCACCTCTAGAGAGACAATTTTACTGCATGATCCTTTCAAATATGGAGTTCCACAGGCTTCTGTCTTGGGACCTTTACTATTCCCACTGAAGTGCTTGCTCACATATTATTAACAAACACAATATCAGGAACCACTTATATGCCAAAGACACACAATTATATCTCAATAAATTAAACGACCGCCACTTGTGCGTTGCAGAGATCAATGACTGGATGACATGATCATTTTCATGGATCCAGACTCATCATAGAATTGCATTATACTATCTATCTTGGTTTTCTCTCATCTAATGCTGAGTTCCCACCAAACACCACTAGATGTGAATAGATATGAATTCAGACTTGATTTTTATTGATTTTACTGTTTTGCATGCAGTTATTTAATTGTCAACCACATACATTGGATGGATTTTAACTTTAATGTACTTGAAATGTATTATCTAAAAAAGTAGGGGATCATGACTCAGTATCGGCAGATAATCAATATTAAACGACTCAGATCAGATCGGGAGCTCAAAAAACTTGACTGAGACTCACTAATTATATTATTAATATCACAATATTTGACTCATTGTTTTTTTAATAAAGTGTAATTATAAGACATGAAAGGTTTTTCATTTGAGAAAAATTACAAACATATTTAAACAAAAGAAACAAATTTGCTCACTTTCAGTTTCTTGCTGCAGTATTTTTTAGCAGCAGTAGAAATAAAGGATGTCTTGTTGTTTCGGCCCCTTCAGAGCTCGAACCACTAAAAATACGGATGCACGATAATTAACAAGGCAGATAATAGGAAGTTTATAGAATTATGAATTACGATAATTAAATTAGTGCTTATAATAGTGCTGCTGGCTCACTACGAAGAACATTAGACTCTATCGCTCCAATAAAATTATTGAAACTAGCACCGTGGTACAACCACCAAACCTGCCAGTTAAAACAAATAGCTAGGAAATCTGAAAGGAAATGGTGCTCTCCCAAATTATCAGAATATCGCTCAATTTGGCATGATAATCTTAAAACCTATAGAAAGGCCCTCCATAACGCCAGAGGAGCCTATTATTCAACACTAATAGAAGAAAATAAGAACAACCCCAGGTTCCTCTTCAGCACTGTAGCCAGGCTGACAGAGAGTCACAGCTCTGTTGAGCCACATATCCCCATAAACTTAAGTAGCAACGACTTCATGACCTTCTTCTATAATAAAATTATTACTATTAGAGAGAAAATTAATCACCAACTGCCATCAACAGTTATCAGTGGCTCTCCAAGTTCAGGAACTTTAACTAATGTAAACTTAGATATATATTTAGACTGTTTTTCTGCTATCGAGCTTCATCAGTTAACTTCAATAATTTCTTCATCGAAGCCATCAACCTGTCTATTAGACCCGATCCCAACTAGGCTGCTTAAAGAAGTTGTTCCCTTAATTGGCACTTCTTTACTGGATATGATTAATCTTTCTTTATTATCAGGATATGTACCACAGTCCTTTAAAGTAGCTGTAATTAAACCCCTTCTTAAAAAGCCCACTCTTGACCCAGGGGTTTTAGTCAACTATAGACCGATTTCTAACCTCCCCTTCCTCTCTAAGATTCTGGAGAAAGTAGTCGCCAAAGAGTTATGTGAATTTCTACATAACAATAGTTTATTTGAGGATTTTCAGTCAGGATTTAGAGTTCATCACAGCACAGAGACAGCTCTGGTTAAAGTTAACAATGACCTTCTGACTGCTTCTGACAATGGACTTGTCTCTGTACTTGTATTATTAGATCTTAGTGCTGCATTTGACACCATTGACCATAATATTCTTTCACAGAGACTTGAGCATCAAATTGGCATTAAAGGAACCGCACTAAGCTGGTTTAAGTCATATTTATCAGATCGCTCGCAGTTTGTACATGTTAACGAGGAATCTTCAATAAATACTACAGTTAGTCATGGAGTTCCACAAGGTTCTGTACTTGGACCAATACTATTTACTTTATATATGCTCCCTTTAGGCAACATTATTAGGAATCACTCCATTAACTTTCACTGTTATGCAGATGACACGCAGTTATATCTATCAATAAAACCAAATGAAATTAATCAATTATCTAAATTACAAACATGTCTTACGGACATAAAATCCTGGATGACCTGCAATTTTCTGATGTTAAACTCAGAAAAAAACGAAATTCTTGTTCTTGGCCCCAAAAACCTTAGAGACTCATTGTCTAAAGATATAGTTACTCTAGATGGCATTAACTTGGCCTCTAGCACCACTGTCAGGAATCTTGGAGTTATCTTTGATCAGGATTTGTCATTTTACTCCCACATAAAGCAGTCCTCTAGGACTGCCTTCTTTCATTTACGTAATATTAGAAAAATTAGACACATCCTATCACAGACAGATGCAGAAAAACTAATCCATGCATTTGTTACTTCAAGGCTGGATTACTGCAACTCTTTATTATCAGGTTGCCCCAATAAGTCCATTAAAACGCTCCAATTAATTCAGAACGCTGCAGCACGAGTACTGACAGGAACTAGAAAAAGAGATCACATCTCTCCTGTACTAGCTTCTCTGCATTGGCTCCCTGTAAAATGTAGAATAGAATTTAAAATCCTCCTCCTCACCTATAAAGCTCTTCATGGTCAGGCCCCTTCATATCTTAAAGAGCTCATAGTACCCTATTACCCCTCTAGAACACTGCGTTCTCTGAATGCTGGGCTACTTGTGGTTCCTATAGTCTCTAAAAGTAGAACAGGAGCCAGAGCCTTCAGTTACCAAGCTCCTCTCCTGTGGAACCAGCTTCCAGTTGTGGTTCTGGAGGCAGACACCCTCACCACATTCAAGAGTAGGCTTAAGACATTCCTCTTTGATAAAGCTTATAGTTAGGGCTGGATCAGGTGAGTCCTGAACCATCCCTTAGTTATGCTGCTATAGGCCTAGACTATCGGGGGATTTCCCATGGTGCACTGAGCTCCTCCCTTCCTCTCTCTTTCTGCACTCATTCATGTTCCATTTATGCATGTTACTAACTTCACTTCTTCCCCGGAGTTCTTGTGCTTTCTCGTCTCGCAGGTTCTTATCGATCCTGGTGGAGCCTCCTGCCATGGTCCTGCTAGATTGTATTGCCAATACTTTTGTTGCTATGCACCTGTCTGTCTGTCTGTCTCTCGCTCTCTCTGCCTCTCTCTCTCTCTCTGCCTCTCTCTCTCTCTCTCTCACCCCAACTGGTCGAGACAGACGACCACCCACCTAGAGCCGAAGGATCTGTCCTAGGTTTCTGCCTTTTAACAGGCAGTGTTTCCTTGCCCTTGTCTCCAAGGTCTTGCTCATGGTGGTACTGTTGGGTCTCTGTAATTAATGTTAAAGAGTTCGGTCTAGGCCTGCTCTATTTGAAAAGTGTCCTGAGATAACTTCTGTTATGAATTGGCGCTATACAAATAGAATTGACTTGAATTGAATTGAATTGAAATAACGTTAGAACATTTCGTCTCGTCTTGTTTTGGTCAACGAAAATGAAGAGATATTTTAGCAGAGTTTTTATTTTGCAAACCACATTTAGTCCCTTTTTATTCGTCAACAATATTGCATTATATATTTGATTATAGTTTTCGTCACATGACCACCATTTACGTTGCGTCTCGTCTCGTCTCCGTCACGTGATAAAGGTTTGTTGACGACGATATTTAGTCATCATTTTCGCTGACGAAGGCAACACTAGTTATAAGGAGTTCGGTCTAGACCTGCTCTATTTGAAAAGTGTCCTAAGATAACTTCTCTTATGAATTGGTGCTATACAAATAACATTGAATTGAAAATTGAATTGAATTAAATTACAGATGATAAATAATCTGTCCATCATTCTTCAATCAAATGCAATATTATCATTATTATATCAGCTGAAATCTATTCTGTGTGTCCCTAAGAAGCTCTGGTTGAAGAGCAGCACAGTCGAAGGTGCCTCTGATGAAGGTGTGTTTGTTTTACTGTGTGTGTCCCTACGTGGGCTAGTGTCCGGAGCTACGATGATGATGCCGTGCTCCGCCGCAGGAAGCTGACTGCCGGCTTTAGTGATGAAGTTCTGCTCGGTACACGTCAGACCTGCAGAGAGACAGAAACCGGATCATAACCTCAAACAGACGAGCTGGCCAACAGCATTAGTGCAGGGATGGGGGGGAAGTAGTGCAGGGATGGGGGGAAGTAGTGCAGGGACGGGGGGCATTAGTGCAGGGATGGGGGGGGGGGAGTAGTGCAGGGACGGGGGGCATTAGTGCAGGGAAGGGGGGCATTAATACAGGGACGGGGGGCATTAGTGCAGGGACGGGGGGCATTAGTGCAGGGAAGGGGGGCATTAATACAGGGATGGGGGGCATTATCTTAACTACACTGTAAAATCAGATTAGTCAGTTTCAATGTTGAAACTGTGAAAACAAACTACCTTTAATATTAAATCAATAATGTTTCTGTAACTTACAGAATAATTTCTGCTGACTAGTGAGATTAGGAACATTTACCAACCGCACTCATCCCTATTAAAACTACAGTGAGCAGCTGTTTTAGGAAATAATTGATTTATTATTATATAATTTATTAAACATGAATCCATATATTTAGGCCCTCAGTCGGAGCCACAGACACAGAACCAGTGCAGACCTGCAGACTGTGTACTCACCTGAGAGCCAGTACATGACGGGACACTTGGCGGTGTCGGCTTTGGGGGGCAGGTAGACGGCGAACTTCATCTTACACCTGAGCTCAGAGCTGGAGAGGAAACACACACACACACAACCTCACACACTCATCGTTAACACAGACACACAACCTCACACAGACACACACACACACACACACACACACACACAACCACACACACACACACACACACACACACACACACACACACACACACACACACACACACACACAACCTCACACAGACACACAACCTCACACAACCACACACACTAATCGTTAACACACACACACAACCTCAAACAGACACACAGACACACAACCACACACAGACACACAACCTCACACAGACACACAACCTCACACACTCATCGTTAACACACACAGACACACAACCTCACACACTCATCGTTAACACACACACAGACACACAACCTCACACACACACACAACCTCACACAGACACACAGACACACAACCTCACACACACACATCGTTAACACACAGACACACAACCTCACACAGACACACAACCTCACAAACTCATCGTTAACACACACAAACACAACCTCACACAGACACACAACCTCACACACTCATCGTTAACACACACAAACACAACCTCACACAGACACACAACCACACACACTAATCGTTAACACACACACACACACACACACACACACACACAACCTCACACAGACACACAGACACACAACCTCACACACTCATCGTTAACACACACACAGACACACAACCTCACACAGACACACAACCTCACACACACATCGTTAACACACACACACACACAACCTCACACACACACATCGTTAACACACACACACACAACCTCACACAGACACACAACCTCACACACTCATCGTTAACACACACACAGACACAACCTCACACAGACACACAACCTCACACACTCATCGTTAACACACACACAGACACACAACCTCACACACACACACAGCACAGACACACAGACACACAACCTCACACACACATCGTTAACACACAGACACACAACCTCACACAGACACACAGACACACAACCTCACACAGACACACAACCTCACACACTCATCGTTAACACACACACACACACAACCTCACACACACATCGTTAACACACAGACACACAACCTCACACAGACACACAGACACACAACCTCACACAGACACATCGTTAACACAGACCTCTGACATTTAATCTCATCTCACCTTTCATGTTCAAAAACCTTCTGAAACCCACCGGCGCACTTGTTGGAGGACACCTGTGTGAGAGCCATCTCTGAAACACAGGGATCAATACCTGGTTAATAATCAATAAGTGGATCTGATGTGTTATTACTGCTGTCCCAGCTAGGTTAACGCTAACAGACACTCTGGGGTTGGACTTTCAAAATAAAGCTTCAACAGCATTTCAACAACTCAATCACTGTTCAACTTTTATCAGAACAAACCAATCGATCAATACTGTGAGATTTACTGTCAGATAACAAACGTTGTTGCTGTATTCGTCTCGTGTTCTGTCTTGTAGTCTCTAATGTGTCCTGCTGGGCCAGTGTGTCGTAGAAAGGGTGTGAGACATTGTCCAGGCTTCAGTCCATATTGGACAATGTCTCACACCCTCTCTACGACACACTGGCCCAGCAGAGGAGCACCTTCAGCAGAAGACTCCTCTCACCCAGACGCACCACAGAGCGCCACAGGAAATCATTCCTGCCTGTGGTCATCAATCTCTACAGCGCCTCCCTCAGAGAGTCAGACACCCCCCCTCTGTAACCTGACCTCAAACACAGACAATCAGAAACTGCACAAGGTCACTGTACACACTGACACTGTACACACTGACACTGTACACACTGACACTGTACACACTGACACTGTACACACTGACACTGTACACACTGACACTGTACACATTGTCACTGTACACACTGACACTGTACACATTGTCACTGTACACATTGTCACTGTACACACTGACACTGTACACACTGACACTGTACAGTTTGCCATTTTTGCACATTTTGCACATTTAAAGGTGTGACTTATATATTTTAAACCTTTTATATTCTTAATATATTGTATGTCTATCACATCTAGACTATATTTAACCACAGTAATTTCCCCCTGGGATTAATAAAGTATTTCTGATTCTGATTGTCTTTATTATTAGGGAAGAACGATAATTAAAAGGACAGATAAATTATCGGTGATAATGTGAAATTTACCTTTTTATTTATTTATAATTCAATTAAAGTCGATAAATTATCGGTTGATATTAATAATAATTTATTACGGAGTAGAAAAAAGAATCCGAAGAGTCAGAATTGTTGTTTGTTTGTTGTTGTGTGAACAATAGTGATATAGGTCGTTGTTACACTTTTCTATCAGGTTATAAAAATACAGGTAAAAAACATATTTTTAAATCACAAAAATGTGAAATTATCTCATTTCATCGGCCAAAATGTGGGAATGAAGAACTACAGAACTTCATTATAATGCTGTTTGTCACATTTTACTTCATTTTGCAGCTTCTGTAATTTACATATTGCAGTTCTGATAGTACTTCGACAAATTGTGCAGCTCTAATAATTAATTCTATAATTAAAATGAACATTTTCTTTTATTAATATCAAGGTTAAGTTTCGGTAATGGGCTTCCATATGTTAGAAGCATTGGGATGAGGCCTTTATCAGCAACAGGAGATAAAGTGCAGTTTATAAACTGTATGAATCCATTCAAATGAAGCTGCCTTCCTACTTATACTAAAAATAGCACACAGATAACGTTAACGTCAGTGGCAGCGGGCACAGTGGAGAAAGTTAAAAACCAATATTAATTCAAACAGCGTTGTTCAATATAAATAATTCCTTGGCCGAATTGATCAAAACATCTTTAGCAATTCAAATAATATACCAATATATGTCCACCCGCCTTTATGTTTAGTTTACCTGCACATTCATTTTAAAATGGTCGGGTTTTGAATAGAGTTTTGTTCCATACTGAGGGGCGTGCAGGGATTAGCAGGTAAAGTTAGCTCGTGCACAATCGATGGTTTCCGAGTGTCAGCGAGAAGTTAAACAAGTGAATAAGTTGTGTCAGAGCAGAGGAAGCGATAATATATCAATAAATATCTGCAAATACCTTCAGAAACTTCAGCGTTTAGTTGGAAATGAGGCTCACTGGTTGCTAACCGCTCCAGAGACAGTGCAGAGTCCAACCGCGTACAACGCGCTGACGTCAGGGGAACCGCCCCCTTCACGCTGTACGTCAGAGACGTAAGGTTCGCGTTCAGGCGCAAGATGGCGGTGTTTGTTAGGAAAATACAACATACAGCTGGTTTAACATTTATTTATCACTTTATATAATATAACAAGTATGTGTATTATTATAGTAATATTAATATGAATTCTTATTTGAATTATTATTACAAATATTACAATAAAAAACTTTTCAAAACAAAGTTACAAAGTGCTTTACAAGAAAAAAACAAAAGTGACAATAATAATAATAATAATAATAATAATAATAATAATAATAATAATAAAGTCCGTCTCCCCCTCCCCGCGTCCACACAGCACAATCTGGGTTGGGAATTATTCACACGGTGCACCAGAACTGGTGTCCTGTCTGTCTGTCTGTCTGTCTGTCTGTCTGTCTCTGCAGCAGCTTCCTAAATTAGACCGTCTCAAATCGTCCTCCTACAACCCCCCCCGAAGAAACAGATTAAACTCAGTCCTCAGATACTCTCCGACGTGATTACGCTTCCGCCTGCAGCCACCAGCGCTGGGAGATTCATTTAACACACGTTTCTGTTTTTACATCAGTCACACACACACACACACACACACACACACACACACACACACACACACACACAGGACATCACTGGCCTTTAACAGCGGCTGCTGCTCTGCAACTGACCTCTGCCCTCCAGGGCCGTGCATACAGACAGTGTGGGGCCCGTAGACAGAGAGCGAACCCTCACACCCCCTCAGAGACTTTCATGTTAAACTACAACTGGTGCCATTTACTAAAAGCAAACTCATCTTCATCTTCATCTTCATCACACTTTAACTACGGAAGCCCTGAAACTCATAAAAAACATAGAAAAGTTAATTCAGTTTAATTTCCTTTTTCTGTCTGCTGAACTTAATTTGACTTTTGACATCTGTAATTCGCTCATTTAAATGCAAATGACATTAATTAACTTATAATTGCTTTTCAGAAGTGATCAGTTTATTAATTGATTATAATTGAACACTATAAAGGTCGTTAATTATTCCAGTGGCACACTCTGGCCTCCGTAACAAGCTGCACCTGGACCCACACTGAAGTCGCTCTTCCTCATCTTCATCTTCATCTTCATCCTGCGCTGTAAAAACTAACAGCAAATCTTTAATTAGGTTAATAGTACTTAATCAATCAATTATTATTAGGATTATTAGGACAAAACATAAAAACAGATGAGACACCACATATTAATATCTGAATTATAAAGATTATTTTAATATATAATAAATTAATAGAATCACTGAATGTATATAAAGTGAAATTTGACAACATATTAATATAAATATTGTTATTCTTTACAAAAAGAAAGACAATTAAACCCAACTCAAAGATGAATTATTAAAGTAATATGTTTGACTTTATACCATTACAGAACTTATAGCCCCACAGTTATAATATATATAATGCTATTTAACTTTCTATTATACTGCACTACTTACTATTCAATTATTGCATCCAAATCATTCTTAATGATCCCTAAAGTGTAAATATTTGATTAATGTCACATAAAAAAGAAGTATTGTTAACAACTTCATTACAGCAATAACAATTAGATTAATTATTACATTACCTGTCAAAGCAGCTGATTGGGTATTTTATTTTTCCCAATAAAAATAAAAAATGAACTCTTTTACTAAAGCTACTTGATCAATGATCGATGTTTTTTTTTAAAAAAACTTATTTTACTTTAAAATGTTGATTTAATCAGTTTCAATAATGTTGTGAGTTAAATGAACTCATGAGGTTTTACAGTGCAGACATCAGAAACAGTAAATTGGGGCCGTGATGTGTTCACTGACATGAGTTACTGCTGGGGAACAGGATGCGTTCTGTCGCCATATCATCAGACTGATGAAGCCTGTGATAATCAGGTTGAGTGAACGGTAAATGGATGGAGGCTCCTGTCTGAGCGCTCGCTAATTACATGTTCCAGCATGTTAATCGAATAACTCACTATCGCTCTGCCAGCAGGAGCCGGAGGGGGGGTTTATATTCGCCCTCACCTGGGTCATCTGTTAACAGACAGCTCACTCCCTCAAAGCTCCATCACTGTTATTGAATATGTTTCAATTAAGAGGCAATCTGCCAAAAGAAGGTTTTAAAGTTCCAGTGTGTCACATTAATATAATATTCATAGGTACAATTTCATCAGTGTTAAATCAGCTGAATATAACAATCTTTGTGTTTTTGTTCCCTCAGATCATGATGTGGTTATTTCAGCATCATTTTGATCTGAATATATATATATATATGAATATATATATATACATATATATACAGCTTTGGCATCCTACACACTTGGAAGGATAAAAATATTATAAAAAATACATAATACAGATAGAGAATTGTATAAAAAGGAAATAATCTGCCTAAAATGCATCCAAATCTCTGGTTGTACACAAACTTCAAATTCACTGTTTGGTTCATTGTTCAGTTTTAATATAAAATGAAATATGTATCAAATATTTCACTGAGTCCGTTTATTTATATTTATATAAATATAAATGATAGAAAAGAGGTCCCCAAAGGAAAAAGGTTGGGAACCATTGAGCTCGAGCTCGGGGGGGGCAGTTCTGAATGTCGTCCATCTTCCTCGTGGCGTCTGGCAAAACCTCAGAGCAGCGAGGAACCGTCCATAAAGAGTTCTCCACACTGAAACCGAGTCCGTCCTGAATGTTTGCTTCATGTATTCTCCTGTGTGTGTTTGTATGATAAAAATGATGACCAACTATTTGAGCTCTGACCCCAAAACTGCAGATAATGCACCCTGTGTTTGTATTATCATAAACACACAGATATATATATATATATATATATATATATATATATAGGTAACTACAGTCCTCCTGACTAAATCTTATTTGATTTCTTATCATTTGTATTTTTCATTATATTACAAGACAAATTCATTTTAATTATACATTTTATATATACATTCATCCTGCCGTTATTGCAGACAGGCATTTAAAGTCAAGGTGAAATGAAA